AATCTTTTGGGCATTATTGTTTAATCAAATTATTCTGACAGTGTGTGAACTGTATGAGCATCTAGAACAATAGTAAGCATGTAGTCAAAGCGAAGACAATGTCCAGTGAACATCAACAAACTGTTGGGCTGATTTGACTGAATCAACCAATGATAACTGTGGCTTGCTGTTTTCTTATTATGTAGGACTTCTATTTTATGTTGAAGGTAAAAATCCTACGCAGCTCTGTGGGTATTGAAGACTTCATTTCTGTAGAGAAACTACTAATTGTAAGCAACAAAGACTAACAATTCCTCTTTTGTTCTCTTGAAGGATTTCAAAACAAGACCTTCTCCCACCTTTCTTCTATCCTAATAGTTCCTAACTGAGGGCAATTTTGTCCCCAGAGGACAGGTGGCAATGCCTGGAGATATTTTCCACAGTATGACTGGGAGGGGCACTATTGGCATCTGCTGAGTAGAGGCCAGGGATGCTACTAAACACATAAAATGCACAGAGCAGCCCCCACAACAAAGAATTATGAGGTCCAAAGTATTAACAGTGCAGAGGCTGAGTAATTCTGTTCTATATGCATAGTCTAAGTCAACATATAATATGTGAAAGTGCTAATACCCAGAGTGCCATTGGGGGTGCTGTTCCATGGTGTCGGAACACAGCCTTTGGTTAGTATAAGCAACCATATCACTGTAACTATAGCAAAATCGAACTTCAAGAGCAAATTGACAATATCTGAGTTACTGGGAGAACTGAATTTCACAAAGAATGATCTAGAAATGGTTTGATTTTCTGCTGCTTTCTGTAGTCATTTTAAGGTTGTTCTACCTGCAACCCATGTTCTTATTTCACTACCTCCCTCTTGGGTACAGATTGGGAGGAATGGCCCAGAGATTCCAGGAAAAAAAATACTTTTATCCTCTCCTTGCCTTTCAAAGTCTTTGCTTCCTTTACATGGCTTGGCTTCACATAGTCCTTACCTGGTGGGTAATAGAGGACAGACTGTATTCCTGAAGAGCTGCCACCCCTGCTCTGTTTAGGGACCTGGCCTCAGCAGGCTGGGCCATCAGCTGCCCCCACAGCCAGCGAGCAAGTGAGGTCACACAAGCTGTGGTGGCAGAGATTACACCAGCCTTTTGCATTTGGCCTGGAATCCCATGGGGCATTCAATCCCCTCTCCTGTGGTGCCTTTGTGGGCCTTCCCCTAACAAATGCCTACTTGTTCTTCCTCAAAGCTCACAGGGTGTCAGAAGCCAAGACGGAGCCCTCGTTTGCATTCCTGGGGCCCACTGGCATGGCCTCAGGAATCCTGCAGCTGCAGCATGAATGGGGCCATTTGATGGCTTAGCTGAGGGCTTAAGTGGAGTTGGATGGCACAGAATCCTCCCTTTAAATGGCACTGTCAAATTTTCAACCAGACTCAAACCAATGCTCTTTAGAAAAATCACTTGTTGTCTGAGTTCCCCCAACTTTCAACTCTTTGCTAAGGGAGGGCATCAGGGATCTGGATTCGGCTTCCACAGCAGTGGGCTTGGTACATAATGCTCAGTAAATATTGGTTAAACCAAACAATGAAAGTCAAAGTGCCAAAATGAAGCCTTAAAGATTGGTTGGTAGCATAGGGGAGGAAACAACATCTTCCTCTACCATCTGGTTCTCCTTCTGTGGGCCTGTAAATTAGACTGACAAAAGTCAGATTAACTAGAAACAAAACAAAACAGAAGTTTGTTAGTATATTCAATGCCCATGGCCATGGGGGTACTCAGTAGTGAGTAACTTAAAGGGGTAGTTAGAATTGGGGCTTCTATAGCATCTTGAGAACAATGAATTTGGAGAGAAGGGACAAGACAAGGGAAAAGGACTTAGAGCTTCTAGGCACTGGTAAATTGTGGAAAGGTAAATATATCGTGAGAACTAATGGAAAATAAGGGTTGTTTTCAGCAAGGTCTGCCTCTGGACTGACAAAGGTCTAGAGTTGTCTTCAGTGATTAATTTCTGTCATTTCAGGTAGAGAGGGGAAGGGGAACACCTTTACAAATTTATGTCCTGCTTTTAGGCAGAGAGCTTTACTTGTATCTGCTTCTTCTCAATGATGCTTCAGCTCAAAATAATCCTTATGTTAAAGTGGCATATTTTGGGGTGGCATACTCTGCTACCCTTCAGCACTGCTTTTCTTTGCCTCCACCCCATCCTTTAGCTCTTATCTTTAGTTTAAAGAGCACTGGTCCCAGAAATGGGTAATTCTCAGTAAGAGCAACAATACATGTTTCTTTACAGTCAAAATTTCGAACTTAACACCAGGCACACTGTTTCCACACTCCCAAGCTTATTTCCACATGACCAACAAACTGTTCATTTTTAAAATGCAAATCTGAGTGTGTTCGATCATCTGGGAAAAACCTCTAGCCTCAAAACCCGTCCCTTTCCCTCTCTCTAACTGCACACTCTGAGCTCACCGCACCCCTCTCCTTTCACTAAACCACTTTGTTCTCTCTTACCACTGAGCCTTTGCATGTTCTGTTGCCTGTAACACTCTTCCTGCCTTTCTTTGTGGCGCTCTAACTCAGGATGCATTTAGCTCAGGTCAGTGGTTCTTAAAGTATACTACACATTAGAAACGTCTCAGAGAGCTTTTCATCCCCTGTACCAATTAAATCAGAATCTCTGGGAACGGAATCCAGGGATGGGGATTTGATTAAACTCCCCAAGTGATTTCAATGTGCAAGCAAGTTGAGAACCAGTATTTTACTGTGTATAAGTATTACCTGGTAATCTTGATGCAGATTCTAACTTGGTACATCTAGGATAAGACTTGAAATTCTGCATTTCTAATAAGCTCCTAGGTGAGGCTCATGCTGTGATATTGCTCATCTGCAGACCATACTTTGAGTAGCAAATGCTGAGACTTCAGTAGCTCTAAGACAGTGGTTCTCAAAGCGTGATCTCCAGACCTGCAGCATTAGTATGGCCTGGGAACTTGCTAAAAATGCAAACTCTCAGGTTTCAAACCATACCTATTGAATCAGAAACTCTAGGGTCAGGGCCAGCAGGATGTGTGTTAACAAGTCTTCCGGGTGATCCTCAGCACACTCACATTTGAGAACTGCCCCTGTAGGAAGTGTTCCTGAGACCCCAAAACTAACTTTATTTTCCTCTCTCTAGTCTCTTCTGCTTTCCCAGAGTATCTTGTGTTTCCCTCTGCTGCAGCACGTTTTCTACATATTGTTTGTCTGCGTACTAGCCTATATCCCAAACTGGAGGGCAAAGTCTGTGATCGTTGGGTCCATGGGGTCCCAATGACCTAGGACAGTGGCTAGCATCTACTAAGCACTCAGTAAATATTTGTTGAATGCATTAAAGAAGGACAGAGAGTTAAGCTACACCTTATTATGTGATTCTTTCCAGGTAATTTCCTCTGTGGCTAGCATAAAGACAAAAGAAGACAGAAAGAACAAGGATATAAAATATCATCAAGCCACCTGGTGCCTGAACTCTGTCCCTCACAGTGAGAGGGTCCAGGTTTTCATGATTCTTCGCTCTAGCAAAGCTAAAAATAGGAATTTAATAAATGTCTTTCTGTGGAGAGGCTAAGCCTAGCACCAAAAAAATGAGAGAGAGGGAAGGAGGAACGCAGAAACGGTTTTCTGCAGAATTACCTGGCAGTAGTTTCTTCTCATGCTGCAACACAATGAAAAAAGAGAGTAATTCAGATTCCCTTCACATTCTACTCTCCCAGGTTTTCTTTCTTACCTGATAGTCTCCCTGATAGTCTCATCAATAGGAACATCTCCATTTCTTCCAGGGAACAGAGGTAAAGGTATGCCACTTACTAGGGCCCAGAAGCACCTTCTGTTTAGCAGTAAGATAAAGGGAGAGAGAATTTTGCCACCCCTCGGACACAGCTATCAGCAGATTTCACGGAGTATCCCTAGCAAATTCATATTGGTTGATGTAAATCTGTTGGAAGATGTAAAACTGCTTGTACCCAGGAGAGGCAAAATGGGTATTGGCAATTCTCCTTCCAGGAATCACAGAATCCGTAGGGGGTAGGGTTCTCAATCCTAGTTGCATATTAAGACCACCTAAGAAGATTTCTAACAAAAGCAATGCCCAGCCTAACTCTACACCAGTGCCATCAGACTCTCTGAGAACAGAGCCTGGGCGCCTGCATTTTTAACACACCTGGGTACCCCAGGTGATTCTAATATGCAGCTTAAGGACCACTGGCATAGTATTAAGGCCAGGTGGGGACTTAGAAATCATGGGACCCAATGTCATATAATGGTTAAAATGAGTGAACTAGATCTCTGTAGATAGAATAACGTGGAATCAGCAAAGCATCACAATATGGAATGGAAAAAAACAAGTCTGCAGAAAAGAAGCTCAGAATGATACAAATTATTAAATACATGCCCCCAAATCACATATTCTCTATATTGCTATAGTGATTATTTGGGTAGAAGTCTAAAAGTGGATTAGAAGGAAGTGAGTTCAGGTCTCACAAGTGGTGTCTTCTGGGCCGGGGGAAGGGACTAGGGAGGGAGGATAAAGGGAGCAAAGTGGGGTCCACCTTCTTGTGTTGTGCTTTCCTTCATTTATGGCTTCAAAACAAGACTTGAAACAAACATTGCACAATGTTAGTAGTATCTTCTGACTGGAGGGTATGCACAGATGTATATTGTTTTGTGCTTTCTATTTTTTTGAAAAATAAATTCTCGAAACAAAAATAATTTAAAAAATAAAGATCTAGCACCTCGGGTTTTCTAATGATAAAGCCCGAATGCATACATGCCATAATAATTCTGTCAAAGGCGCTGGACTCACACACCTCAGGGAACTGCTATTAAACTCTGCTGAGTCACAGATGCCCTGCCTGGAGAGTTGTGTGCCTTCTCAGCATCCCTGTAACCTCCTCTGTCCCCAGGTTCACAGCTCCCCTACTCAGAGGCTCTCGGCTCCTCCCTCCGCGGTGGCAGGCTGCTCTCTCTGTCCCTGCCCGCTGGCCTAGTGGGTAGTGACACAACGCGGTGCGTTCCTGCAGGCAGGCTCAGGCCCCTGTGTACTCGGCTTGACCCAGGCAAGCTCCTGCACTTGCGGCTGAAGAGCAAGGGCTCAGGTGGGCGTTCCGGTGCGGGAACCTTGCAGGAAGGCAATCAGTCGGTTTGTATTCAAGCTGAAAAGCCCCCTCTGAAGCCTGCGATCCAGACACAAAGCGAGATGAATGTGCTTCGCTGCAGAGCTTACAGCTGGGTTATTGACTGGGACTGAGAGAGGCGTTGAAATGAAATAGGGAGACTGAAGAGATCTGCTCTTTTGATTCGGTCTCTTCCAGGATTTTGCAAGCTCCAGATGGCTTTGGTCCAAAGTGAAAAATCTCCCTGAGATCCTATTTAAAATTTGAGGGAATCAGCTGCGTAAATCATTTTTCTTTTAATAAAAAGCGAGCGCGTGCTGGTTTCTCCCCCTCCCATGTTCTGATGTGGCTGGCTCACCTGTGGCTGAGCTGTTTGAACGAGCTGGGTTTTCCTCCTTCCTCGCAAGCTTAGGTGTAAAGCAAGCCACAGTGCCTGAGAGCAGTGGAGGAGCCATGTTTATGGAGTCGGAGTACAGTCCGGAATCCAGGCGATCAGAGGCTTTAATGGATGAATAACTGTCAAAGCACAGTGAGGTGTTTGATAACCTCTAAGTCTGCTTATTGTGAGTGGAAAGCACAAGGTGAAAAAAAGAGACAGGGATGGATGAGCTTGTGTTTCTTACTCCTCCTTGCCTTTGAAGAATTTGACAATACTGTCATCAAGTGCTCCCTGGGGAGGGTGCTCTTGGGGACCTAGGAGGATTCTGGTTTGAGGAAAGCAGAGGAGAGCTACATAATTAAGGAAGAAAGAGCAGAAATTGGGGGGTGGGGCTGCACATTTAATGCAAGAATTCAAAGTGTAGAAGTCCTGTTGAAGAAAAAGGGGGAGAAGCCCCCACTATCCAGTACCTCCAGAGGAGGAGCTGGAGGCACAGACCAGATAGGATCCCCACATAAGGTCTTCAGATAGAAAATAGGAAAACTGAGGAATCTGCTTCACTGTTGATTAAGTCTCTCCAAGGGTTTTGCCAGCTCCAGAAATTGAGCTTAAGTGGTGTTCTAGACATTAGATCATTTTTATTGCTAGGTTGCAGTAGGAGGAATTTTCCTTAATGCCTGGAAACAGGAGGGCATTGACTCTGTTTCTAATGCAGGGACATCTAATAGAGCTCAGTTTGCTTGCCAACTCTGCTTGAGTGGTAGTGGCTACCTGGAGCACTCAGGAAGGGCTTTAAGGCCAGAACCAGGCTCTGGTGGAACAATACTTGATTGATTAGCGATGTCTGTCTTGGGTGTGTAATGGTAAAGGCAGCATGTGTGCCTCCTATTTGGAATTTCTGCTTTGAGATGCTTTTCCTTCTGTAGGTGTATCACCACCACTGACATCCATATAACAATCTATGCGTTAGACTCCAAGTCTTTTAGCCTCTTCTGTTAAGGAGCTTTCACCTTAAAAGGGATGGCAAAATAGTTCATCAATCATATTTTTTGTAGGTCCTTTGGAATTGGCTAAGTTTACGATTCAAGGGGCATTGGAATACTTTCCACTGCTTGCCTCACTTACCAAAATGCCTACAGAAGTTATGCCAGAGAGAGCAGACCTTAATTTTTAGGTTTATCCTCTCCAAATTTACAATCAGAAATTCACAATTGTATGGTGAAAATAAATGTTCAGTGACTAAGTCTCCTTTCAAGGCCCTGATATAAGTAGCTTTGAGTCTAAATCCAATTTCCAAATAGACGTTTGGGCATCTCAAGTGGTGATAATAGTTATGGTGTAATGAAACTGGAAGTGTATCTGGGAGCAGAACTCTGACGCCAATGTCTTGTTGCCTATGGGAGGAAGGATAAGCCCAGTAAGAATGACTCAGGCCTTGAATCCTGATAAATTGCTGAGAGGAAGGACAGGAGAGGAATTGTGGAGAGGGGAGAGAAGGTTGGAAGGATTCAAGCCCCTGTTGCAGACAGCCCCAGCTCACCAAAAATGTGAAATACTCATTAGCCTTTACAGAGTGTGGTAGGCTGGATCATGTCCCCAGTCAAAGATGTTCAAGTCCTAATCTCTGGTCCTTGTACACCATAAAACGGACTTTATGGATGTGATTAAGACATTCAAGATAGTTAAAATATCCTGGATTATCTAAGTGGGCCTAATGCAATCACAGTGGTTCTCATAAGAAGGAAGCAGGAAGGTCACAGCCAGCAAAGGAGATGTGATAATAAAGGCAGCGGTCAATAACATGGGGCCATGAGACAAGGAATGCAGGCAGCCTCTAGAGCTGCAGTCCCCAATGTTTTTGGCACCAGGGACCAGTTTTGTGGAAGACAATTTTTTCATGGACTTGGCAGGGAGAGAGTGGTTTGGGATGAAACTGTTCCACCTCAGATCATCAGGCATTAGACTGTCATAAGGGCCACACAACCTAGATCTCTTGCATGTGCATTTCACAATAGAGCTCACACTCAGGTAAGAATCTAATGCTGCTGCTGATCTGACAGGAGGCGGAGCTTAGGTGGTAATACTTACTTGCCTGGTGCTCACTTCCTGCTGCACAGCCCAGTTCCTAACAGGCCATGGAGTGGTACTGGTCCATGGCCCAGGGGCTGGGGACTCCTGCTGTAGAAGCTGGTAAAGACAATGCCAGATCCTCCCCTAGAGCCCCCAGAAGGTACACAGTCCTATAGACCCATTTTAGATTTCTGATCTCTAGAACCATAAGAAAATAAATTTGTGTTGCTTTAAGCTACTAAGTTTGTGGCAATTATAGAAGCCATAGAAAATGAAGACATTCATCTCTGACTTATAAAGCCTCTTCTCCATCCCCACAGCCTTTAGGCTCCTGGTGACCATACCCCGATAAACACCTGTTCATAGGAAAGCAGGCCCTGTCATGTGTGGTTTAGAATGAGTTTTAGTCACACATTTCAATCACCTCAGCAGCTTGACTAATGGCAAATTTTGTCCATGCTACAGGAATTCCAAACACAAAGACCCCTTCCTAATCCCTCGACACATAAGGCTGCCAATTTAGTATCAAGAGAAGACAGGAAGAACTTTTAAGGTAGGAAATTCCTAAAATCTCAGCCTTACTTTTTTCTCCCTTGATAAGAAATCATAAGACCTGCAATTTTAAGTTCTTTTTTTCTTTCTTCATTTTCCTTTTTATTTATTTTTTCTTTCATCCCCCTCTATCACTTAGGCTGGAGTACAGTGTTGTGATGACAGTTCGCTGCAACCTCCAACTCCTGAGCTCAAGCAATCCTTTCACCGCAGCCTCCTCAGTAGCTGGGGCTGCAGATGTGTGCCATCAGGCCTGGCTGGTTTTTAATTTTTTTGTGGAGACAGGGTCTCACTATGTTGCTCAGGCTGGTTTCAAACTCCTGCCTCAAGCAAGTCACCCACTTTGGCCTCCCAAAGCATTGAGATTACAGGCATGAGTCACTGTACCCAGCCCAATTTAAAATAATTTCTAATTGCTCTGTGTCAGTTAAGATACCATAAGATTTGTCTTCATATCAGCCTTCATCTATCACATTGAGGGAAATAATTACTTCAGCTCGACATATGGACTAAAAGCATCTGTATCTTTTGAGGCTAATTAAGGTGAAATTCACTGAAAACTTATTTCAGAGAAGTAGTCTGTAGGTTCCATGAGGCCAGGACCAGGGTGTATCTGTCACCATCAATGAGTTCTAGTAACTAGCAGTGTGCCTGCCACAGAGTAGACATTCAAGCAATTGATCTTCATTGAATAAATGAATGAACTAAAGTAAATAATGTTTGATAATGGTGGTTCACTAAATGAATATCCCCGAGGAAAGTAACCCATGTAGAAAATACTAAAGTCTATTGCTAAATTTTGCAAGGAATATAGTGGTCTTTGAGAGAGAAGTATGAAATACAGATTTTCTTGCATGTGATTCTTGGTGTAATTACAGGAAATTTTAATTTTCTTCTTTATGCTTGTCTGTGTTTTAAAATTTTGTGTACTGAATACGATTTACATTTGTAATCAGAAAAAAGTAATTTCTCAAAACGTTCTCAGGGAGTATGATGAGATGGCTAGAGTTACATGATTTTCCTCGGATGTGCCTTTAGCTGTCAGAGGGAGGTATTAAACTCATGAATGCAGTTAATTATTGATCCCTGGTTCTCTTACAGGAAAGAGATACATGGAAATAGCCATCAAATAAATAGGGTTTAGAGTTGTGGTAAGAAGCAATAACTGTGAGTCAAATCCTCGGTCTGTCCTTAGTACTTGTTTGACTATAAACAAGTTACTTAGTTTCTCTCAGCTCTGATGCTTTATCTATAAAATGGGGTAAACAACCATACAGGACTATTTGGGAGTTAAGTGAGACACAAGTTGTAAAGCATTTAGCCCCATGCCTGGCACATGGTAAGTGTTCAATACATGTCAGCTCTTATTATTTTTATTATTAACAAATTGAACATTCTTGGCCTTGATGCTGACATTTCCTGCTGATAGGCAAACTGATTTTTTTCAGTGCACACAAATGGAGGGCACTGGGAATCTCTGGATTTTTTCCTAGCAATAATTAGAAATGACAGAGTGATTAGGTGGCTAGAGGACATAATTAACCTCTCTGGCTCTCAGTCCTCTTTTCTGTGAAAGGAGGCGATAGAATTAGAAGACCTTTAAGGTTCCTCCCTGCTCTATGACGTTATGTGTATAAGATTTATTTTTGCATTGGAAACCTTCATTTGAAAGATAATGACTTTCTTAAAATTTCATGTATTTATTTATTTAGAACCACAGTCTATTTATTCCCTCCTACAATCTATTGTGCTAGATGAGTATCTGGGAACATAATAAGAAAGATCCTGGTATCTGGTCAATTGTCTTTGTATTCCGTACACAAGGCTGGAGGCTGATTCCAATTTTTTTGTTGTTGCTCAGGTAACTTAAATTACATTTGTCTTGGAAATGGACTAGAGGATTAAGAACCTGAGATTTTTTTTTAACCCATGCATTGTTAAAGAGAACAACAGCCAGCCATTTCAAGGTTGCAATGCCTAACTTGGTGATGAGAAATTTAAGATTGTACCTGACTAAAATGAAAAGAACCTTTTTGTTTTTTAGATGCCTGCCCTGTGGCTGCCCTGGGCTACCAATTATGGTGCCACCTTGTCTAACTTCTCACTCTGTCCATTTTCCTCCTCACGAAAATTTACCTGCACAATGTTTCATCCCCCCAGGGCCTTGCTTCTAGTTTCTATGGCAACAGTGAGCTAATCCACTCTTTATGTGCCCTTCCTACCGTCTCAAGCAAGGGAGACTTTAGGAGATGACAATGTCTTCCTGGAAGTGAAATGACATTAATGGGAAAATCTCAAACTAAGATTTAAGACTGATTGTTTGAAACCAGCAATCTGTAGTACCTCTCAAATTAAAACATGGAAGTCATCTTCCTTCCTACTTACATACAGAGCCAACCTGATGCCTTGTTATTCTTATGCTTTCCTTTGCTAAACAACATGTCCTATTCGCTGTGATCATAGTGACATGCTGGCTGTGGTCTGTCCTGCTGAGCACTGTGACTGCACAGGTGATATCCAAATTCAATCATCTAACACTTTTTCTCAACTTTCACTAATGCAGGAAGAAGTAACACTGGAGTCAACAACAACAACAGCAAAACAACCTCTGGCAATTTCTTATCCTGTGTCTGACTGACCTCTTTTACATCCAAGGAAAGTATTGTCAAATCACCAATCCCCCAGAGCTACACTGTCTTGGAGATGCTAAATTGCAAAGAGAAAACATCTCAGCATTAAGGAAGAAGAGAGCTCCGGCTGTGGAATGATTAGAGGGTGCAGCATCATTTGGCAAAATGCTGCAATATCTCCTTAGGCTTATATGCTATTGTCCTGATTCTTAAGATTTTCCATCTCAGGTATTCAGACCTCTAAACTCTGTCTCCTTATCCCCAACCCTATTTACAAGTTGACATGTACCAAAAAGAGTAAATGAATGACAACAGTTTACATTGCTACTCATTCTCAAAGACATTTTCATTTTGACATGAAATAGAGATGTAATTTAAACTACAGTAGAATTTAAGTGTAGAATCAGGAAGGGGTGGGGGGAAATTAGAGGTGCAGATGATTATATAGTCCAGTAACCTAGGATTAATTGCCTCTGCATGTCTGTCTTTGGGAGAGACATAATCTCTCTAAACCTTAGTTTTCTCACTTGTATTATAGGATCATAATTGTTCCTATCTCATAAAAGGCTTCCAAAGAAAAACTAGAGCTGCATAGTAATTAAAGTGGTAAAAGCAGATTTTAATTAGGAACTATTACAGTAGGGGAAAATGTGTCTAGTTTAGTATAGCAGTAGGTTCAATTCTGAATACAGCAAGCACAGGTGAAGATTTATAGACAAAGAGCAGGGTGGGAGTCAACAGATAAACAATCACTAAGAGGAAACATCAGGGGGTAAGCCAAAAATAAAATTCTAAGCCCCTCAACCAATTGAATGGAACCCTCTCTTGACCAAAGGTGTTCCAAAGTAAACCTGAGAAATGAGTTCAGGCTGTGATAGGAAGGGAGGATCAGACATACCTCATTTTTACACCCTCCTCCCTTTGTAATCCAGACACAACTTATCAGCATTAACATTAAAACAGAGCTCTGTGTAACAATAAGATACCAAATTCTAATCTGAATCTAGTATAGCATCACATGACAGGTAGCAAGCCCTGAAAGAAATAGAAACATTTTACTCCATTTTTTTTTTTGAGATGGAGTCTTGCTCTGTCACCCAGGCTGGAGTGCAGTGCTGTGACCTCAGCTCACTCCAACCTCCACCTCCTGGGTTCAAGTAGTTCTCCCTGCCTCAGCCTCCCAAGTAGCTGGGATTACAGGCACCTGCCACTATGCCCAGTTAATTTTTGTATTTTTAGTAGAGACAGGGTTTCACCATGTTAACCAGGCTGGTCTCAAGCTTCCGACTTTAGGTAATCCATCCACGTTGGCCTCCCAAAGTGCTGGGGTTACAGGCACGAGCTACTGTGCCCGGGCCCCACATATATTTATTTGACATATTTTGAAATGGCCCTGCAAAGCTATCTCTTGTGGGGAAAACCTACATTCTGTAGAGAATCCCCTTCCCTTTCCATGTCTTTTCCTGATCCAGGAGAGAGTTAACTGAGTGTAGCACCTTTAAGGGTCTAGCAAGAGATATGTACCATCTATTCCCTGAAGTCTGCTAATCTGGAGGCTACATCTACATGACAAGAACCTTGGCTGATAATCCCCCTGTATCAGCCACAAACTTTTCTTTCTGCTGGCCTCAATTCTTCAGGCAGAACTTTTTAAACCAATTGCCACCAGAGAAACCTTTAAATCCACCTATGATGTGGAAGCCCCTGCTTTGAGATGTCTCACCTTTCCAGGCTGGATCAATATATACCTTACATTATTGGTTTACAACTCTGCTTGTAGTTTCTGTCCCCCTGAAGTGTATAAAATCAAGGTGTAACCCAACCACCATGGGCACATGTTCTTGGGACCTGTTGAGACTATGCCTTGAGCCTTGGTCACTTGTATTTGGCTCAGAATAAATCCCTTAAAATATTTCACTGAGTTTGACTCTTTTTTTATTGCCAGGAGTAAGGGAGGATTCTGGCTAAATGACCAAAGAGCATTCTTACTGAACGCAGATCAAGGTGATCAAATATCAGTTGGGGATAGTGGGAGATAAGGAATTTGATCAGATATCAAGGATGATCAGATATTAAGGGTGGAAGATTCTCACTAAATTGACTTAGCAGTTTTAAAATTGGGCAATGCCAAGATGAATACTGAAGGTTGAGGCCTACAGGGTTTAGAGGAGCCTAGAGTTAGCTCAAAAAGAGACTCTTTGTCAAGGTGTCCAGAAGATTAAATTAATTATCCACATATTTGTGGTAAGAGATCAAGTAAGCGCTGGATATATTATGGTTCCTGTTAAAAATAAAGCATTAAGAGAAGGAAATTATGGCTGGTTGTAGAATTTGAAACATCACTTGTTTGGAAAAATGTTTATTCAAGTCATTTGCCTATTTTTTAAATCAGGTTATTTATTTTTTGCTGTTGAGTTGACTGAGTTCCTTATATATTTGGGATCTTAACCCCTTATCAGATATATAGTTTACAAATATTTTATCCCATTCCATAGGTTGCCTTCTCTCACAGGATTGTTTCCTTTGCTGTGCAGAGCTTTTTAGTTTGATACAGTCCCACTTGTTTATTTTTGCTGTTGTTGCTTGTACTTTTGGTGTCATATCCAAAAAACGCATTGCCAAGACCAATGTCAAGGAGCTTGTTCTTGGCTGGGAATGGTAACTCATGCTTGTAATCCCAGTACTTTGGGAAGCTGAGGTGGGGGATCACTTGAGCCCAGGAGTTCAAGACCAGCCTGGGAAACATGGCGAGGCCCCATCTCTACAAAAACAGCAAAAAATTAGCTGGGTGTGGTGGCACCCACCATAGTCCCAGCTACACAGAGGCAGAGGTGGGAGATGGCTTGAGCCTAGGAGGTCAAGGCTTCAGCAAGTCATATTCATGCCGTTGCATGAACTCCAGCCAGGGAAGTTGGGGCTTCAGCAAGCTGTGATTGCAACACTGCACTCCAGCCTTGGTGATAGAATGAGGCTCTGCCTCAAGAAAAAAAAAAAAAAAGAGAGAGAAAACTTGTTCCTTTTGTTTCTTTTAGGAGTTTTATGGTTCCAGGTCTTGGCCAAATAGATATATGAGAAGGTGCTTAACATCATGAATCATCAAATGCAAATCAAAACCACAATGAGATATCACCTCACACTTGTTAGGATGGCTGTTATCAAAAAGTCATAAGATAACACGTATGTAGTCATTATGGAAAACAGTATAGCTGTTCCTCAAAAAATTAAAAATAAAACTATTTTCATCATATGATCCAGCAATCTCACTTCTGGGTATATATCCAAAGTAAATGAAATCAGTAATGTCAAAGAGATATTAATGTCTGCATTCCCATGTTTGTTGTAGCACTATTCATGATAACCAAGATATGAAAACAACGAAGTGTCTGCTGATAGATGAGTGGATAAAGAAATTGATATATGCGTGCGCGCCACACACACACACACACACACACACACACACACAGAGGGATATTATTTAGTCTTAAAAAAAAAGGAAATTCTGCCTCTTGCAACAACATGAATCAAGCTGGGGGACATTATGTTAAGTGAAATAAGCCCTACCCAGAAAGAAAAATAGTGCATGCTTTCACTTATAGGTGAAATCTAAAAAATTCAATTTCATAGAAGCAGAGTAGAATGGTGCTTACCAGAGGTGAAAGATGGGGGAAATGGGAAGATATTAGTCAAAAAGAACAAAGTTAGTATGTAGGATGCATAAGTTCTAGAGAGCTAATGTATTGCATGGGGAGTATAGTTAGTATTGTATTCTAGAAATTTGCAAAGAAAGTAGATTTAAGTGTTCTTACTACGCACATAAAATGTTAATTAGCTTGACAGCAGTAATTTCCTATGTATATGTATTAATATATCAAAACATCACAATTTACATCTTCAAATACAATTTTAATAAAATTTTTAAAAAAATAATAACTTGTTTATTCAACAAATACTTATTAAGCACCTATAAATGTGTTCAGGCACTGCTTCATTTTATTATTTATTTATTTTTTTGAGGCAGGGTCTCACTCTGTTGCCAAGGATAGAGTGCAGTAGTGCACTCGCCGCTCACTGCAGCCTTGACTTCCTGGGCTCAAGCAATCCTCTTGCCTCAGCTTCCTGAGTAGTTGGGACTAAAGGCATGTATCATGTGTTTTGCTTTTTTTTTTTTTTGGTAGAGATAGCTGTCATCATGTTGCTGGTGCTGGTCTCAAGCTCCTGGGCTCAAGCGATCCTCCCTCCTTGGCCTCCTAAAGGGTTAAGATTACAGGTGTAAGCCCCACGTCTGGCCTCTAGACTGTTTTGAATATTGTGCTAGGAGAACAGTCATGAACAAGATGGACAAAATTTTTGCCATTGCTGAGCCTATATATTAGTGGAGGAAGGTAGGAAATAAACAAATATATGTACGTTAATTTCAGGTAGCCATAAATGCTGTGAACAAAATAAGCAGGATAAGGAGATAAAGCGTGATATGGAGTGGAATTATCTTCGACAGGGTGGGCAGGGAAGACGTCTCTGAGGAGGAGGCCATAATCACAGAATCTTAAATGAAATAAAGGAGTGAGTCAGGTGAGTGACTCTGATGGAAAGAATTAGCAAATCAGCCATGATTTGGTAGATTGTTTTGTTTTTCTGGGAATTTTCTATTACCTATAAAATTATATCAGTGAATGCAAATTATTTGGCTAGAAGTGAAATTGATCTTGAATGTGAGATTAGGGCTAGATGAAAAAAGGAAACCAGGGTTTGCTGAGCAGTTATTATGTGCCAGGGGCTATTCTCCCTGCTTTAAACAGGTTTGTTATGTCCTCTAATGTAGCAGTCCCCAACCTTTCTGGCACCAGAGACCGGTTTTGTGGAAGACAATTTTTCCACAGACTGGGAGGTGGGGAGGGTTTCAGGATGAAACTGTTTCATCTCAGACGATCAGGCATTAGAGTCTCACAAGGAGCGGGCAACCTCGATCCCTCGCATGCGCAGTTCACAAAAGAGGGGAGGCACTCCTGTGAGAATCCAATGCTGCCACTGATCTGACGGGAGGTGGAGCTCAGGTGGTAATTCCGCGGGCCTGACGCTCACTTCCTGCTGTGCCACCTGGATCCTAATGGGCCACGGACAGGTACCAGTTCGTGGCCTGGGAGTTGGGGACCCCCGCTTTAATAAACCAACCAATCACACTGTCATTTCTCATAACAGTCTTATGAAGTTACTACTCTCCCAATGTGAAAGCTGAGCCTTGAGAATTTTCAGCAACTTCCCCAAGATAGTTAGAGGCTGATATGGAATTTTCCACCTATCACTGGTAAGCTCTCCAGATAGTGCCAAAACACAGCAGGACTATGCCCTGAAAAAGCAGTTCCCTTGCCCTTCATTAAATCTTTAAAAGGTATTAGCCCTCATGTGGTCACTAAAGATGTATCTAAAAGCTCCAAACCTAAATTCTTCACCTACAACAAGCGTGGATTTCACCAACCTGACCTTGACCTTAACTTATAAGCAGAGAACTGCTCATACCTAGATTCACCCATGGGAGACCTGGGATGCAGGCTTGATATTTTACTCCTACCTTTCAGTCCCAATATTCAGGGGCTCAAAGAATTTCAGCCTTTCTGCTTTGTGGGGAGCTTTCAGATCAGTTAGTGATTTTTTGAATGTGTAGTTTAATGGTAGATTGACAACATACGGGTTTTTGGCCACTTGTAGGAGGCATAACTACAAAGAAATATCGCCTTTTAAAAGCTGTTCTGTAAGCCAGATGCAGTGGTATGTGCTTGTAGTCCCGGCTACTCAGGAGGCCAAGGTTGGGGAGATTCCTTGATTCTAAGAGTTTGAGCTCAACCTGGGCAACATAGAAAAATTATTGTTTAAACAAAGTTACAAGGACATAGTTATAAAAAAGAAGGTCAACTCAGGAAACTATACTTATTTAAGATGCTGTCTTGCTTGAAATATTTTGTTAAGAAGAAAGGCCATTAATTGAGACACTTCTATCTGCTGTTAAACCTTTTATAGTTAATCTATGAGGTAGGTAATTTTATTCCCTGTATGCAGATGAGAAATCCGAGACTTAGAAATATTTTGAGTCACTTAATATTAGCCATCTAGCAAACTTAGATTTCAGCCCATCTGTCCAGATGTGACAAAGCCTGTGTTATTTCAACTCAAGTGATTATCTCTTTTAGAATTTCCTTTCAGGATTGGCAGTATGTTCTTTCAAGTACCTCCACTGGTAGCAGCTGATCATCCAAGGTAGATGTAATTTTGGAGAGTCAAGTTCATTTGAAGTCAAGACCAAGTGGATGATCACATTGCATGATGTCATTTTGTTACTTTGATTAGAAAAAAAAAATGAGAGAGAAAGTCAAGATGACTTCTCATTCATCTTGCTTTCCTGTAGCCACAAATATTTTGTTTTACATAGTCAATCAGTGGGGTTGTTTTAATGTAAAATTATTTGTTGAGGCCTGGTGCGGTGGCTCATGCCTGTAATCCCAGCACTTTAGGAGGAGGCCGAGGTGGGCGAATCACAAGGTCAGGAGATCGAGACCATTCTGGCTAACATGGTGAAACCCCGTCTCTACTAAAAATACAAAAAATTAGCTGGGCGTGGTGGTGGACACCTGTAGTCCCAGCTACGTGGGAGGCTGAGGCAGGAGAATGACATGAACCCAGGAGGCGGAGCTTGCAGTGAGCCAAGATTGTGTCACTGCGCTCCAGCCTGGCTGACAGAGCGAGACTCCATCTCAAAAAAAAAAAAATTATTTGTTGAAATGTAACACATTGATCTATCACCAATGACCTACACTAGCATTAACTTATTGGTCAGATTTTTCTGTTAGCGAGGAGAATCTGGAAAGAATAGGATACAGGACAGATGAGTTTTGATGGTGGGGTTAGGATGCAGGAAGGTCAAGCCT